AGAGAGCAGGAAAAAATAAATGTGCTTCTGAAGTATTTATTTTTTTTAGACAGATTGAGTCTTGGAAACAAATATCTGAATTAATTATTTTCAAAGTGATAAGACTAATTAAAGCTAGAATATGCATTTGTATAAATTTTGATATACAGTGCAAATGTGTTAATATTTATTTTTAAAGAAAAACATAATTAATAGAGCGTGTAATGTTAAATGACATCTAACATAAGATGCACGAATGTTGATTTTTCTAGTTTTCTCTCTTTGGAAATGCATTTATTAAGAAAAAAGCAAAGAAGGCAAAACTGAGCTCATTTTGATGTAAAGCTCTGTTATCTTTCTATCAGACACTCTTCTAACTCCAATCAGTTCCACAAGTTTTCAGACGGCTGGTTTAGAGTTTGGTGTCTTTGAATTAGTCCGCCTACCCTCAACTTTAGTTACGTGAGCTGCTGCAAAGCCCGGTGATGTCTGCTGTCCAGCGGGAGGGAAAGCGGACTGACGTCAGAGGCTGATATGATTCCTTTGACGTCAGAGCTTAAGCTGTGGGCATCACGTTCTGCCATTGTTTGAGTAGGTTGAAATCTGCAGCCCCCACGGTTGTGCCGCATGCAGCTGCTGGTCGTGCAGCTGCTCCTGAGTCTGCACCACTTCACTCAAGGTCATGAATCAAAACTTAACCATGCATTTTGTACTTTTTATGTGCATTTAACCGTTTATAATTCGTGTGATCTTAGAGTTTCTATTGTATTCATTTTATTACTGAATCCAGGTTTTACAATGAGAATTGCTTTTAAGGCCATTTATTAAAAACATTAGAATATGGTAATAACTTCTTCTTCTCCTTTGACTATTTTAGCTGATGTAACGGGTACATTTCTCCACTGTGAGATCAATAAAGTCAATCAATTAATCAATCAAAATGTTAGTAGTCTTATGATAAGACCAATAATATTTCTTTAAGGCTTGCTGATGAACATGTCTCTTATCTCGCTACTCTTGCCTTTCATCGTATACACCACATATTCTGACTAACAAAAGTAATGCTTTGACTACCTGTTCAACATGTAAACTTTTAACATAACATAACATTTTATATAAAATATCTCAGGGCTGGACGGTGCCATAGTGGGTAGAGCTGTTGCCTTGCAGCAAGAAGGTTCTGGGTTCTATTCCCGCCCTGGGGTCGTTCTCCCTGAGCATGCGTGGCTTCTCTCTGGGTACTCCAGCTTCCTCCCACAGTCCAAAAACACTGTTACAGGTGCTGGTCATAAAATTAGAATATCATGAAAAAGTAGATTGATTTCAGTAATTCCATTTAAAAAGTGAAACTTGTATATTATATTCATACATTACATACAAACTCATATATTTCAGATGTTTATTTTGTTTAATTTTGATGATTACAAATGACAACAAATGAAAATCTCAAATTCATCATATCAGAAAATTAGAATATTACTGAAGACCAATAAAAACAAAGGATTTATAGAAATGTTGGCCAACTGAAAAGTATGAACATGAAAAGTATGAGCATGTACAGCACTCAGTATTTAGTTGGGCCTCCTTTGGCCTGTATTACTGCAACAATGCGGCGTGGCATGGAGTCGATCAGTCTGTGGCACTGCTCAGGTGTTATGATAGCCCAGGTTGCTCTAATAGTGGCTTTTAGCTCTTCTGAATTGTTGGGTCTGGTGTATTGCATCTTCTTCTTCACAATACCCCATAGATTTTCTATGGGGTTAAGGTCAGGAGAGTTTGCTGGCCAATTAAGAACAGGGATACCACGGTCCTTCAACCAGGTACTGGTAGCTTTGGCACTGTGTGCAGGTGCCAAGTCCTGTTGGAAAATGAAATCTGCATCTCCAAAAAGTTGGTCAGCTGCAGGAAGCATGAAGTGCTCTAAAACTTCCTGGTATGTGGCTGCGTTGACCCTGGACCTCAGAAAACACAATGGACCAACACCAGCAGATGACATGGCACCCCAAACCATCACTGACTGTGGAAACTTTACACTGGACTTCAAGCAACGTGGATGAAGTGCCTCTCTTCTTTTCCTCCAGACTCTGGGACCTTGATTTCCAAAGGAAATGCAAAATTTACTTTCATCAGAGAACATGACTTTGGACCACTCACCAGCAGTCCAGTCCTGTTTCTCTTTAGCCCAGGCAAGACGCTTCTGACGCTGTCTGTGGTTCAAGAGTGGCTTGACACAAGGAATGCGACAGCAGAAACCCATGTCTTTCATACGTCTGTGTGTGGTGGTTCTTGAAGCACTCACTCCAGCTTCAGTCCACTCTTTGTGAATCTCCCCCACATTTTTGAATGGGTTTTGTTTCAGAATCCTCTCCAGGGTGCGGTTATCTCTCTTGCTTGTACACTTTTTTCGACCACATCTTTTCCTTCCCTTCGCCTCTCTATTAATGTGCTTGGACACTGAGCTCTGTGAACAGCCAGCCTCTTTAGCGATGACCTTTTGTGTCTTGCCCTCCTTGTGCAAGGTGTCGATGGTCGTCTTTTGGACAACTGTCAAGTCAGCAGTCTTCCCCATGATTGTGTAGCCTATAGAACTAGACTGAAAGACCATTTAAAGGCTTTTGCAGGTGGTTTGAGTTAATTAGCTGATTACAGTGTGGCACCAGGGGCCATCAATTTTGAACCTTTTCACAATATTCTAATTTTCTGATATAATGAATTTGAGATTTTCATTTGTTGTCATTTGTAATCATCAAAATTAAACAAAATAAACATCTGAAATATATGAGTTTGTATGTAATGTATGAATATAATATACAAGTTTCACTTTTTAAATGGAATTACTGAAATCAATCTACTTTTTCATGATATTCTAATTTTATGACCAGCACCTGTAGTTAGTTGGCTTCTCTAAATTTTCCTTAGGTGTGAGTGTGTGTGAGCCACTGATCTCTATTTATTCAATGGATTGCGGATTGCCCGTTGGTAGTACGGGGTTGAAGTGAAGCCACCGGCCGCCATGTTGGTACTCCCTAATTAGACCGGTCTCAATGTAAACAATACGTGCGCTACAACATTGAACGATGATGTTCTCATTTTCACGGGGATTTAAGACTTTTGAAATAAAGATAAGTTCATCACTTTGACAAACACTGGCTGTTTCATAGCATAAGAAGTTTACTTTTACTTGTATAAAAAAATAGGCACCTCACATTACATAGTCATTATGAAGTCGGGAAAGTCTCTAAATCATGTAATATAACATATTATACAAACATATCACAAGAAAATTCATGTGTTAGTGGAGCATAATAATACAGATGTGCCAGAAGTGCTAAATTGATGTACATGTATGTACATGTAAATGATGGACATGTAATAGACATGCATTAATGACAGTGTTATGGGAATTACATTTGATAATTTGAAAAAAAAAAACTATACATACAAGTATGCATGCACACACAAACACATGCATACACTATCCAGTAATTGAATAACTTTATTAATATGTATGTATGTATATATATATATATATATATATATATATATATATATATATATATACATTTTTTTATATATATATATATATATATATATATATATTAGGGGTGGAACGGTTCATAAAATTCACGGTTTTCGGTTCGGTTCGATACATGTTGATTGTTAGACCGAAATCCCATAAAAATTTATGGAATTAATGAAAAAATCCCCCAAAAAATTATGGATTGTAATTATTTCAAAAGATCCGCGGAAACCCTGGATCATTTCCGTATGTTTTGCTGCTTTGAATTTAATCATCCCGTCGTATGCTCTCTACCATCTCCAAGGAACTCAGAGCAGAGCGGACGGGAGCCACAGTGGAGGCTGTAGACTTTGCTTTGAGCAGCCGGTCTGGAGCGCAGCGGGGGTTGCTGACGGAGTATGAGGGATTTCGGGGTTAGCATGACTTGTTGCTGTTAGCATAAACAAAACGTGTTGCACAATGCTTGCATACTGTTGCACTTTTATCCACAACTTTCTTTCCGCCGTCATCGTAGGTCCCCTCTAAATGCAAAGCGCTCCCATACAGCAGACCTATAAAGTGCTGCTGGCGCGTCTTCCAACTCCTGTTCTTTCCCACTCGCCATACCCACACAATTCTCCATAACAACTGATTTTTTTCCCTGCTACACCCGGCTAAGCTGCTTCGCTTCTTCTTCTTCTTGTTTACTACTGGTGGTTGGCTTTGGTCGCAGTACTGCCACCTTCTGCTCTGGAGTGTAAACGCTTCGCCTATGAGAAAAAGGAGCAGCACATGAACCGAACGAAACACACGCGAACCGAACCGAGACAGTCAAACTGAACGGTTCTGACGGTTTTCATAAATTGTCCCATCCCTAATATATATATATATATATATATATATATATATATATATATATATATATATATATATATATATATATAAATACATGGGTCAAATGTTTTTTCCCCCTCAAAATAACATGTAATATATTTCAGCACATAACTTTTTCGGTTACGGCATTATCCACTTAATAAAGAATTACTACATGGACATTTCACAGTTATATACTTTCTATTTACTGTACTTTCTATTTTCTAACGTTAGACACCACGTCGATGGCTAACTTAGTCAACAGGGTCACCGCGACCCTGACAAGGACAGGAAAGAGAAGTGGGAGAAAATAGATGGATATAGAATATATCATATCTTTATGTTTACATCCATGTTAAAGTTATTTTAGAGATTTCTGACCATCTATTCGAGTTCATTTGAGGAGAAATCTGCAATCCCCTGTTGGAATCAAACAGCCAGTTGGAGATCGACTCCAAGCTCCTGTTGAACCAAAAAAATCTTAGGGATTGTAGGTCCATCAACAACAATGACTCATAACTACATTGAACAAATACAGGAAGTAGTTCATCACAGAAAAGCTCCTGTAAAGCATTTTAATCAGCTGGCAGACCTGCCTGCCAGAGGGTGTTCAATAACAATTCTTCTCCTTTTCTCCTCCTCTGTCCAGATGGGATCAGTGTGACAGGTTTACCAATCTCTAGTCCGCTCAGGCAAGTCCTCAAACCCAGGGCCGAGACTAAAGCGGTGAGCAGCGAGTCTGGGAAGGCCGAGTACAGCCATGTTAAGGTAGGCAAACACTTCTCAGCAAACAGGAGATACACCCACACACTGGCAAGTGGCAGTGTTTGGAGAATACAGGTTCATTCTCACCCACCTTTATTTCGGCAAATGATTGGTATCTCAGTTAAGGATTCTGCAGAGACCTTTTGGTATCTCCCTCTAGAAATGGCACTGTGCTTATTGTGATGGTATCTCACAGTGGTTTAAGAAGGCCTCTGTTCGTTCAATCAGTCCTCAGAGCTCAGTGAAGGCATAGAGGAAAGATAGGAGGAGGATGCACCACCTGGAGCAGATCTGCAGGGGAAAGACTTACGTAACGATGTCTGATGGCCAGAAAGTTGCTGCATCACAAAACACCAAACTAGCTGAAGTGATGAAGCCTGCATTGTTACCTCTCAAAGCCGGAGGGAGGCTTTTATTTAGTGTGTGAATCATCATGAGAGAAAACAGTAATGTTTACCGTTAAGGTGGGCTGTCACAGCCTTTTCTTTCTCACTCTTCTGGACACTTTGACAGGATGATGACGAACGGATGAAAAAATGACTGTAGAACGTTAATTTTTCAGGGTCAAATAAAAAACTTAGATTTCAACAAGCAGCAGACGTATAACTTTGAAAATTTCTCATGTTTTCAGCTCATTTTAGATAGGAAATAAATATTAAAGAAATATATTTTGGAACTTGGCCTCATATATGCTTGTTATCAATAAATTAATTAATGAAGCTTTTTTTTTTTTTTTTACAAAGCAGAGTTTTGTCCTTTGCTAAGAGGATTTTTCTATAACCTAAAGAGTTAAACTATTTTTTTGCAATATGCTGAGTTAACAAAAACTTTTTCATTATATTTGAACAATTTATTAAATGTTCCAATTATATTTTGACAGTTTATTAAACTTAAAACAAAACTGGAACTGATTTGGTCCCTGAATGAATAAAAAAAAAGCAAAGTACTTATAATTCCCAACAAACAAAGATGAAAACTACCATTAAAAGACTAAAATACAGTGTCAGACTATTTGTTACTTTCATTTAATGGAGTCGATGCTAACTGTGATGGAACTCTTTTAGTGTAACTTTAAAGCAGGTTGCTCTAAGGGGAAAGTTAAACTGCTGTCTGCTTACCCATATTTACCCCATTGCTGTAAACCATTGCACCAACATATCCCAGTTCATATATGACCACAGCTTTATCTCCTCATGTCATTCAAAAGGTATAGAAACGGCACTGATCATTCTGCCTCGCACACAACAGCCAGTCATGGTCAAATGAAAACACTAAAGCAATATTAAGCTCATGACTTTAAAAACTTAACACAGCCTAACAACACACACAGCAAACCACACCAACTCCTACAGAAATGGGACCACCTGAAGTCGATTAACTTAAATTTATGTAGATTGAAGATGTTCTCTTGTTTATCAGCAAATTGCATTTTTATCTGATGGTGAAAGTATCTTCTGAAGGGAAGACGAGGGTCTTTAGTGTCATTTGAAAGACTTTCTTTGCTTCCTTGGATTTGACTGAGACATAGAGACTGAGAGCATAACATTCAACACAATATGATCTAGTTAAAGCTTAGAAAGCCAATCAGATTTAATTTTAAGCTCACTGTTTCACTGATATAAGTAGAGAAAAGTAATTGTGCTCTTTTTCGACTGTTTGTTTATAAAACTTATTTCATGAGAAAAAAGCCGACTGAGGTGCAAACCAGCAATCTGCACAGCTCTCACCATTTTCACCAAAACAAGACTATGTCTGATTTCTCAGGTTGGGAACAGAAATCTAGTTTTTATCACTCAGACACATTTTAGTTGGTAAGACCTTTCATTTTTCTTTTTTTCTGCATTCACACTGACTTTTTATTTCTTTCTTGTTTAAAAAGACCAAAGCACAGCACTTAATTAGGATCCTCACTTTCATGATTTTCTATCTCCAACCTTCTTACAAAACACAATTTAAAACTACTGAGTTCCTGTTTTTTGCCTATTTTTTGGCAAATGTTTCCTTTTTATGCAAACTTTTTGGTGTAAAATTGCCTCCCTGCCAGACAAATAAATCAAATGTTTTTTTTTTTGTTTGTTTCTTCATAGTGGGGAAAATGCATTTCTTTTAGCAAAGTTAAAGTAAACCTCAATAAAACTGAATTATCTTTTAAGAATTTTCCTTTTATTTTTCAGTTTCGTTAAAGAATTTCTTATCTTAAGGCAAATCAGATAAGTTGATGATTATCATCATTAGTTACAGACTGGATTATAAAGCCCTTATGTTTATAAGTTTACACTTATTACTAATATGTATACTTAAATACCTTTAGAAATATCACAATAATATCAAAGTATGAAACATGCATAGTAAAAGTAAACTGAAACTCCAGGATATACAGTGATAAAACGCCTTAGTTTTTCTTTTTGATGAGTTGAGTTTTCTCTCGAGTGAGTTGTTGGTTTTCTACAGATCCTCTGTGCTTGATAATGCATTACTTTCCTTTCCCAGTGGATGTATTACATATTTGACATCAACTACCTATGTTGTGAATTAAGTAGCCTTTGTTAGAGACGAACGAGGCATTTTAATGAGTTCTTAAGCTTACTGGGGGCAGAGTTGGACTGGCAGCGGTGGTTTTCAGAGCAGAGTGCAGCTTTGGAGCCAAGCTATATATAACTAAGCTAATTCCTTAAGGAGTTTAAAATCCACCTGAAGGCTGCATATAAAAAAAATACAAGCACCTTCACCTTTAATTTAAATTTCTGCAGTGGAAATTAGAAGGATTTCTCCTGTTGTGTTCTTCTGTAATCAGTATTCTGGGTGCATCTTAGGTTTTCTTGTTTTCCACAGTTTGACTTAAAACCACCGTGAGTGAGCCGGACAGATTAGTAGACATGAAACTACAAAGCTCTGTGAAGAAATGTCCTGCAGTACATTCATCTATTTGCACTTTGTCTACAGAACAAAAGATATTTGTATTGTTTTATGTAATCCTCTAAGTCAAGTAGGCTTCTGTTTTCCTAATGTTATTGGATCCTCAGTGTTTTTCCCTTTTAAAATAATTGCTTTACTTTGGAAGTTTTTATTGCTTACGGAAAAAGTTTAGGTGTTGCAGTGAAAATGTTTTTTTTTTTATACACCCTTTTAATATTCAATTCAATTCAGTTTATTTCTATAGCGCCAAGTCGCAACATGTCATCTCAAGGCACTTTACATTGATTCAACGTTTTCTATTGAAGTTAAACCAGTTGATTGCATCGACTCATTGACTCTTCAGCAATCCCTCACACTAAGCATGCTTGTAGTGACAGTGGAGAGGAAAAACTCCCTTTGAACAGGAAGAAACCTCCAGCAGAACCAGGCTCAGTGTGAGCGGCCATCTGCTGAGGCTGACTGGGGTTCAAGGAGACAGTCAGACAATCAGAATATGATTATTTTTTGTGAATTATGTCAAGGTCTATTTTTTTTTTTTAGGGAGTACAATAGATGCGTTTTAATTTCTGTGTCTGAGATGATTATATGATTCTTTTATAATTATCCCATGCTTTGATAGAACAGTTTCTGACTCATTCAGATGAGGACAGTTATTAAAATGTTTATACCTTTTATATTTTTCCTTTTTAGAAGACAATGTCACAGCAGGCAAAATGACCAACGCTTAATTGGTCCTCAAGCTGTAAACTATTAACCTGTAACAAATCTGTGCATGTCTGAGTTTGCACAGTATGTTTATTATGGAACCTTAGGCAAGCATAGACCTACTGATTAAATAATGTTGTTTTGTGCAAAAGCATTTTTTTTAGCATGTGAATGGGCTGATAATGGATCCTTTAGAGCATCGGTCGGCAACCTAAACTGTTCAAAGGGTCATATTGGACCAAAAAAAACTAATATTAACTAAGTTTTAAATAAGCCTTGTATGGCATCACAGGCTCTAAGTGTATTAGCCCACTATAAAAAAGGACTTTGTGGCCTTATATATATAATAAACATTCATGATTAAATGTTTATCCTGGACCAAATGTCACATCATGGGACTACTCTGCTCTACGAAATGTGGTGCTTTAAGTTTAAATTCCATTATAATAATAATGTATTATGTTTTGTTGCATTGATGAGATTATAGAAACACATTTGGTGTTAAATTTATTTTGAGGATTTGGGGAAAATAAATGGAAGAAAATTGACACACACCTGCATCAAGCAAAAAACAAAGAATAAAAATGAAGATATTAAATTTGTTTCCGTTTCCTGCCCGTTTGAGAAACCAGTTGGTCAAACCAATTATATTATCGTTGTATTTTAATTCAGTTTATTTATTTAGCGCCAATTCACAACACGTCATGTCAAGGCAAAAAAAAAAAAGGCACTTTACAATCCACCACTTCATGTGTGCATCAGGGGTCAGTTTTGTTCCACCCAAAATATCATAATTTTCCTTCCTATTAACCGTTTTTCCCTCCAACTTTTCCTCGTTATCTGTTGTTTCTCTCAGGCCTTTCCTGCTAAAGCAAACTTCTAGACTCTGAGTATTTATAATCAATCAAGAGTGATCTGCAATCAGTAAAGGTGGAACCAATGTGTTTATCTCACTGACCTTTCAATGCCCAATGCATGCATCTGCTTTAGAGTCCTCTCACAGCCGCGGAGTACCAGTGGGCTTAAAAAATTGGGATAATGTCGGAACAGGATGGATGAGATTTTTTTGTGTTTTCCAACATACAGTGCATACTGAAAGTATTCATGGCTCTACTTAGGATATAGCCTTATCCAAAACTGTATTAAATATAAACCTTAAAAAAACAAACAAAACAAAAAAACACACAATATGCGATTATGAGCATTTGGGAAACATAGCTTCTGCAAACTGTTTATATTGTTCATGCTACAGATGTTTTTACAGCTTAAATAAGCAGACCTGTTGTGAATTCACTTAATTGGACATTAGGAAAACACCAAACGTGAATTTAAAAGAATGTAGATCATGGTTTTCTGTAAGTTTCTGTCATGAAACGGGACAG